CTGTGACAAATACTGTAATTAACATAATCCCAGGTGTGTATAAAAAGATCCCCAGCAAACCAGACCTTCAGATGAAATTTAACGTGGATAAATGTAAGGTAATCCATGCAGGGAGCAGAAATATAAAGTACAGATATTTTATGGGTTCCACTGAAATAAAGGTAGCTGATCTCGGTGTGTATGTTGATGCTTCCATGTCCCACTCTCGCCAGTGTGGGGAAGCAATAAAAAAGGCCAACAGAATTTTGGGTTATATCTCTAGGTGTGTGGAGTTTAAGTCAAGGGAGGTGATGTTACATTTATATAATTCCTTGGTAAGACCCCACCTACAAAACTGTGTGCAGGTTTGGTCACCATACCTTAAGAAGGACATTGCTGCCTTAGAAAGGGTTCAACATAGGGCTACAAGAATGATTCCTGGTCTTAGAGGAATGTCTTATGAGGAGAAGGAGATTAAGGGGGGACATGATCCAGGTATAAGATTCTGGATGCTGTTCAGCCAAATGGCTACTTTAATATTAGTTTAAATACTAGAACTCATGGCCATAGGTGGAACTGGATTTGAGAAAAAACTTTCGTGTAGTTAGAGGATGGAATAGTCTTCCTGTTAGTGTAGCACAAGTTAAAATCCTGGGTTCCTTTAAATCAGAGCTTGATAAGATTTTAACAACCCTGAGCTATTAGTTAAGTTAAGTTCTCCCAAAACAAGCTTGATGAGCCGAATGGCCCCCTCTCGTTTGTAAATTTCTTATGTTCTTATGTTCACTTGAAGTGCAACCTGACTTCTGACAACATGCCAAATATTCAACCACAGACCAAGTCTGCTGAGGTGTCAGACATCATTAATGTATCCAAACATCAAGTGGAGAGGATTAAAAAAAGATATGAAGAAACTGGTGATGTTCATGACAAGCCCAGGTCAGGCAGACAACGTAAGACAACTCTTCGAGAGGACCGTTTGTTGCTTCGAAAGTCCAGGGCCAACCCTTTTTCAATTGCAGTAGAGCGACATCAGAACTGGTCACCAGAAACCGCTGTGTCTACAAGAACAGTTTCTCGAATTCTCGCACGCAGTGGTCTCCATGGCCGAATTAGTGCACAGAAACCAGCATTAATGAGAACACAACAAAAAAAGTGTGTTGAATTTGCCAAGGGCCACAGCTTGCAGCAAGGACGGACAGTGGCAAAGTAGCAGAAGGTTGATTTTTCTGACGAATCATCCATTGAACTGCATACCAAATGCTGCAAATACTGTAGGAGACCTGTTGGAACCCGCATGGACCCAAGATTCACCCAGAAAACAGTCAAGTTTGGTGGAGGAAAAATGGTTTGGGGTTAAATCCAGTATGGGGGTGTTCGAGAGATCTGCAGAATGGATGGCAGCATCAACAGCCTGAAGTATCAAGACATTCTTGCTGCCCATTACATTCCAAACCATAAGAGGGGGCAAATTCTACAGCAGGATGGCGCTCCTTGTCATACTTCAGCCTCCACATTGAAGTTCCTGAAACTGACGAGGATCAAGGTGCTCCAGGATTGGCCAGCCCAGTCACCAGACATGAACATTATTGAGCATGTCTGGGGTAGGATGAAGGAGGAGGCTTGGAAGACGAAACCAAAGAATCTAGACCAACTCTGGGAGTCCTGCAAGACTGCTTTCTTTGCCATTCCAGATGACTTCATCAACAAGTTATTTCAGTCATTGCCAAGACGTATGGATGCGGTCCTCCAAGTTCATGGAAGTCATACATGTTATTAATTCTTTCTTCCAAGGCACCATGACTTTATGTTGTGATGTTATTGTAGCATGTTTGTGTATTCTAAATGAAGTATATGCATAATTTCTACATTACTTTTGTATATGACTAGACTTTTATCCAGGCAAAAGTTGACCTTTCTGTCCTAATTACATGACAAAACTCAATGAATGATAAAAAACTTTATTTTGGTATAATAAGCATAATCTAGAGGGCTTTGCCTTTCTTATAAGCCATTTCTGATTCAAACTGATTAACTACAGGTCAAGTTATTATTTGTTGTTCCTACAACTTGGTTAAGTGACAAGACTTTTGTCAGGCACTGTATTATATGCTTCACCATCATTGTCACTCATCCATGTTTCTGTTATTCCTATAATGTCGTAAGAGTCTGGTGAAATGAAAGCCTCTAAATGATGAATATTGTTTCTAATACTCCTAGCGTTTAAGTACAGAACGCAAATGGTAGGCCATTTACAGTGCCCACTTTTAATATTAATTTGAGCTTTCCGTCTCCCCCCACCAGGGCTGGACTGGGACAAAAAAAGGGCCCTGGCATTTTTGCTCAGACCGGCCCACCACAATCGGTCGGACACAACCAACAAGTACACCATCCTTGCGGTCCCTGTAGATATGCATTTTTTTGGCCCGCAACTTCTCCATACCCCCCTTGCCCTTGCGCTTTTGCTTCTCCATCCTAAATCCACTGATTTTTGGCTCTGAGCCACTGACTGCATTTGACTCAAGAAACAGAGGGGGAGGGGTGGAGCCTGTTAAGAGATGATTAGGCCAGCCCAGTGTCAGTATAGAAAATGAACCAATGGGCCGCTGTCCCTGCTTTATGGGCCGGTCGTTGGCCAATTTAAAAAAAAAAAATCATATTATATCGACCAGCCCCCAAGTGCGTCGGCCCACCGGGCATTTGCCCGGTATGTCAGATTACCAGTCCAGCCCTGCCCCCCACCTACTGTCACGCCTGTTATGTATGGACCTTAGGTACTTCTATGCCTAGCCAGTAGATGGCACTGTGATCTCTGTTTAGGTAGAAGTTCTGTGTAACCATAGTAAAAGGAACTGAATAGAAGGAGATACTGATTTTGTGATTAAAAACACCAATGTCAGCTGCGTTATTGAACGCCTACACGAAACCTTACCAAAGGGCAGCAGTACACCACATATTTGGCGACAAGGTGTGGTTTCTGCGTGGGACCAAGCGTTGCATGAGTCGCTGCATTGTTGTTTAGTTCACGGAATACACATCGGGAGTCAGTGGATACGGACGCACCCCTACTACAGGAATGTGCCACAACACCTTCTACAGCTGTCACTGCGAATCCTACTGCAGTAACAGGAACAGAACCAGATTCACCTAACCAAGATGACACCAACACCATTCCTGCTCCACAAGTCACCAATGCGACCACCGAAGTCGGAAGGCGTTACCCTGTCCGGAGAATTAAAGCTCCAGATCATCTGACGTTGTAGGGCTACATACAGATTGCTGGTTCGACGGGAATAGCATTAATTTAGTGAGCCTGTTCTGATATAAGGGCAGAATAATCCCTTGAATTGGCTCGAGGTGAAGGGGCAGTCTACCCCCTACCTCTACAAAAAAAATTTTTTAAAAATGGACATTTGAATAAGTTCAGTTTAACACATGAAGGTTATGTAAAGTTAACAATGTTGAATTAGTTGTGTTTGGTGTGGTCCAAACTGTTGATGATGGTTCTTAAGGGGGAAGGGAAATGTTATGTATGGACCTTAGGTACTTCTATGCCTAACCAGTAGATGGCACTGTGATCTCTGTTTAGGTAGAAGTTCTGTGTAACTATAGTAAAAGGAACCAAATAAAAGGAGATGCTGATTTTGTGCTTAAAAACACTGATGTCGGCTGCGTTATTGAACGCCTCCACGAAACCTTACCAAAGGGCACCAGTACACCACAATGCCCACATGGGCAGGACGTAACAGCTGCGGGTGATCTCCGCTCATTAGCTCCGCTTCTTAAGCAGATGGTACTCAACAAACATTGTGAAGTAAAGTTGCCATGATAAGGAGCATTACTGAGTGTTCTTTTATCTTGTGCCTCTCCCTCTTCTCCTGCCTGCTGCGTCCTGCCTGCCTGTCTCACCTGCCCACCCACCTCCCCAGTTTCTTCCGGCTCTAAATCTGGAAGCACCTGAAAGAGGTTAGACAACATCACTTAAGGTGATGCTGCTTCTGTAAATTGTGTACGCCCTTTTCTATGTCAATGACCTATGTTCACCCAGCTCTCTCAACCCAACCTGTTCTTCATTCTCCCTCCTCCCCGCTTGTGACATACACCTTACTCCCAGCCCAATATATTTATATAGTGCATTTAAAAAAAACGTAACAACAATTCACCCATGTAACCATACTAGCAAACACTCAAATACACTTCCAAATAATTCCAATGAACCACTTCAACAGGCGCACAACACAACACAAGTGCATACCACGTCTATACCACTCCCTCACAGTGCAGCATTCCCAGCTACCTCAGGAGGAAGTACAATCAACAGTACAATTGCACACAATTGCTGCAGTTTCAGAGATTCTCTTCCCAACATTATCTGCCTTTGTGCCTCCTTTATCAGTGTTTCGGCTATCAGTGTGTGGCACGGTGGGATAAGCCTATGTGCCTTTAAATAATGAAGGCTGTTGGTTCAAACCCAGCCTCAACATGTCTGTGGGTCCTTAAACAAGGCCCTTAACCCCTGGGTGCCACTATGGGTGGCTGCCCTTCGTGGACAATTTACTCTATGAAAAAGAGGGAGGTGTAAAGACAATTTCTCCAAGAGTATCAATTGTTATCAACTTTGCTTCCTTTAATTTCCATTCACTCTTAAGTTGATTACGTTTTGCTTCTTGATCTTGAATGTCCTACATGGTTCTGGCTTGCTCTAATTTAGCAGCAAGTTCAGCTTCAGCAACAACATTTCTGCTGGAAAGCTTAGAGGTAACTGAACAACTAACATGATTCTGTGACATTTCTGTATATACAGTCTCTATGTCAGTGTCTTCAAACACCAACCCATGCTCAGCCTCATTTAAGACAATTCTGACTCATTCCTATTCCAATCGTTCATTAAAGTCCATTTCAAGATCTTCTAACCACTTGGTTACAATGCTTCACTCAGTGTGCCACAAGCCTCCATTAATTTCTGGAGTGCTAGTGTTATTCCATTTTAAGTGCTCATAACACTGTGACACAAATTTACTTGTTTAAATATCACTTTGAATTTTTTCCAAGTCATCTATAGAACAAAACTATTTTAACAGCAACCTAGATCTTTTGGCAGTGAGCTTCCAGGAGTCATGTGCCTTATTAAAGGATTTTCTTTGTTTATTTGCCTCCTGATCATGAAGCTCCTGTTCCTTTTCTGTTAGACTTTTTACACAGGAACTGGACTTAATTGGTTCTTTTAAGGATTTATTAGTCCCTACTTCAGACTGAGACATTAATTCAATTAACAACACCCAATTTTACCACATTCACAATATCCAACAATATTAGCTTCAACCATTCAAAAACATCAATCATCATCAAACTCAATCCCCCTTTAAGACTTGATATAAGTTTCATAAATTCATTCAAACAAATATGGTTCAGTTCACTTAGTCTTCTTGGATACAGACATGAAAAAGTTTCTAAATGTGATCATGAATTTCAAACTATTCGGCTTGCAATGAGTTCCTTTACAAAACAAAAGGTTAATTAATCATAGTTCCATGGGATCAGCTGTATTGTTACACTGTATTAGTGATGTAGTGAAGACCTCCTATACCGAGACCAAGTCAGTATCAAGACCAGAGTGTATAGAGATCGAGACAAGACCAAGACCTAAGCAGGGCGAGACTGAGACAAGACCAAAAAGAAGGCAGGAAGTCAAGATCAGAAACAGACTAATCTTTGAGTCTACATAACTATGAAATATATATATAAAACTATAAAATGTGGAGCATAGGCACCATCTTGGGGCTAGGCAGTATGGCATAAAATTTGTGTCACAGTATAATTTCAACAATGGATGTTTTTTTCTTAAAATTTCTATATAAATGCTTCTGTATAAATGTAACATTTTTTCAAATAAGACACATCTTATTGGTTGCATTTGAACTTTGAATTAGGTCATTTTACACCCTATCTCAGAACTATATTAACAAACAGATGAATGTTAAGATTTTCTGTTAAATATTGAGGTCTTTTGATGAGTGATCTTGATTGGTATTGAAATAAAACCTCTAAAGTCCTCTAAGTCCGAGACTGAGACAAGACCGAGTCAAAATAAAGTTGATTCTGAGAAAAGACCAAGACCACCCTATCTCAGAACTATATTAACAAACAGATGAATGTTAAGATTTTCTGTTAAATATTGAGGTCTTTTGATGAGTGATCTTGATTGGTATTGAAATAAAACCTCTAAAGTCCTCTAAGTCCGAGACTGAGACAAGACCGAGTCAAAATAAAGTTGATTCTGAGAAAAGACCAAGACCACAAAAAAGTGGTCTCGAGACCGGTCTTGAGCACTACAACATTATACTGTATATTTAATGTTACATCATTGGCTGCATTGGCCAAATGACTTTACGCCCCCTTCCCCCCATGACCCCCCCCCCCCCATTCAAATGGGTTCCATGGCCCATGGTTCCACCCACCAAGGGTACTTTAGATGGACTATGTTTTCATTTTTTGGTTTTGTTGTATTTGTTGTCCCTCTTCCATCAAGGCATATTTGTATTAGTAGTGATTGTAATTCCAATGGTGCTCATGATGTCACATCCTGCCTGCTGTACCTGTCCAATCCCCTCATTTCCTCTAGGGTATGTCCCTACGCCAGCCACATCTCATGCTTGTTAGTCCTTCCTATCGTCCCTGCCCTCTTGTTAACCATCCACAGCTGCCTTTTGTTTTTCCCCATGTTTGACATGTATGTAAGTGCTCTCTGTTCCAGTGTTCCCTAGTTCCATCATTTTTACCTGTGCTCGGTTCTCTACCTGTCCAGTTTTGCCTAATTAATGCCCCTATGTGGGAATTTTCTGCACACTGCTATATGCATTCATGTTTCTTGGGTCGGTGTCTCATATGGGTGTCACACTGAGTAACACATCACTGTGACCAATAGACTGTGGGATCATAGTGACCGCAGACTGGATGCTGGTGGCTTTTAACATCTATTGCAAGTTTTGGCTTGTGTAAATGTAGACTGTTCTTCAAGCTTTTGAATAATAAAACATTACTTATTTCATGTGGTAGTGAACATTTGTCCAATTAACATTAAATCAAAATGGATTACTGTACCTGGAATTGTCCCCTGCAATACAGGTGCATAGGTAAAGATCTTCCTCCATGGTTTTGTTGGAAATTATTGGTTTGTTATAAGCAGATGTTAATGGTTGTGACTTGGATGAGGACAGTGATGTGATACTGCTACTTTCCAGCTGTGCCATCAACTGCTCTTACACTCTGGTCCTTCAGTTGGCACCAATCCTTGTCATCCTGATGAAAGAGGAAAACACCTGATGAGTTTAAAGAGGAGCTTTGCATTCATGTGGCCTGACAAATACAATCCCATGAAGACAATAACTCAAAAAGATTTTGATGAATCTGTTTCAAACTTTGCAGAGGCATTGAATGGGTGCTGGACTGGACCTGCTTAAATTCTGTGACAGATTGCCCCAAAACTGAAGCAATGCCACTTGGTGGCGGCAAATGGAAGGGTGAAAGCAGACATTTGACCTGGTGAGTGTGATAAGCCCAAAAGTATTTGATGGATCTTATTACTGCTTCCACATAATTCAGTAAATATTATATGAATGAAGATCTGTACCTGGTTTCATTTTCAGAGAAATTGCCCCAAAAATGAAGCATGACTGGTGTCTGGCAACAAAGGAAATGACAGCTGTAGAAGGCACTTAGTTTTGTGAACACAGTAACTTTCTACCCTTCCAAGAAAAAATCTATTTTATGGATCTTTTTCAGACTTTGCAGGCATATTATAAGGCTGATGAACTGGATGACATATTATGCACCATTGCAGTGTCTGACTTTGCGGTTACGTTTTGTTAACTACAGAAGCCCTGAAAGGCAAGACACACCAGCAAATATAAAAACACATCAACAAATATGAAGGCACCTGCAAATAAGAAAACACATCAGCAAATACAAAATCACAACAGCAAATATGAAAACATGCCAACAAAGACAAAAACACAACACAAATACAATTAAAACACGGTCAGCAAATACAGAAACATGCCTGCAAATGCATGCAAAAGGTACATCTTTTGGTACCAGATGCAAGCAAAAGATACAAAGAGAAAATGGATGTCATTAGATGACTATTAGTGACTATACACACTGAAATCAAAAGACTGATGGATGTGAGCCTCTCGTTGTACGTTATGAGGATATCATGAATTATATGGTTTTTCAAACGTCAGGGGTGACTCTTAAGCAGACAAATTTTTTTTTGTGTATTCACAGATAAGTACAAATATAAATCACTTGCCTGCTCATCATTTATTACACTGTGTGCACAATTATTAGGCAAGTTGTATTTTTGAGGATTAATTTTATTATTGAACAACTACAGTGCTGTCGGTCAATCCAAAATGTTAATGAACCTAAACCTGAATGTTTAAGAAAGTAAAAGTGAGGTTTTGTCTTTCTTAAGAGAATATACACTGTGTGCACAATTATTAGGCAACTATTAGTGTGCAGAATTATTATGCAACTAAATGAAAAAATGAACATTTTCCCATCTCGCTTGTTTATTTTCATCTGTTAAAGTGAGAATAATAAAACAACTCACAATTTACATACAAACATTTCTGACATGTCCAAAAAAAAAAAATCAGTGACCAATATAGCCACCCTTCTTTTCAATAACTGTCACAAGCCTTCCATTCATGGAGTCTGTCAGTTTCTTGATCTGTTGATGATCATCTTTTTGTGCAGCAGCAACCACAGCCTCCCAGACACTATTCAGAGATGTGTACTGTTTTCCTACACTGTAAATCTCCTATTTAAGCAGGGCCCACACGTTCTCAATAGGGTTTAGGTCAGGTGAGGAAGGGGGCCATGTCATTATTTTTTCATCCTTAAGGCCTTTACTGGCTAGCCATGCAGTGGAGTACTTCGATGCATGCGATGGAGCATTGTCCTGCATAAAAATCATGGTCTTCTTGAAAGATGAAGACTTTTTCCTGTACCACTGCTTGAAGAAAGTGTCTTCTAAAAACTGGCAGTAGGTTTTGGAGTTGATTTTGAGGCCATCTTCAACCCGAAAAGGTCCAACTAGCTCATCTTTAATAATACCACCCCATACCAATACCACACCTCCACTTTGCTGTCGAAGTGGAGCTCTGTGTCCGTTACTGATTCAGCCATGGGCCCATCCATCTGGTCCATCAAGAGTCACTCTCATCTCATCAGTCCATAAAACCTTTGAAAAATCTGTCTTCAGATATTTCTTGGCCCAGTCTTGATGTTTCAACTTGTGTGTTTTGTTCAGTGGTGGTCGGGTTTCAGCCTTCCTTACCTTGGCCATGTCTCTAAGCATTGAACACCTTGTACTTCTGGACACTCTGGGTAGGTTGCAGTTCTGGAATATGGCAGCACTGGAGGATAATGGGTTCCTGGTAGCTTCACGTTTGATTCTTCTCAAATCTTTGGCAGTTAATTTGCGTCTTTTTTTCTCAATACGTTTCTTGCGACCCTGCCTGCTACTTGCAACAAAACGTTTGATGGTTCTGTGGTCACGCCCCAATATCTTAGCAATTTTAAGAGTGCTGCATCCCTGTGAAAGACTTTTTACAAGGACTTTTCAGAGTCCTTTAAATCTCATTGGCCCATTTTGCCTGAGGAAGAGAAGCTGCCTAATAATTATGCACACCTTTATATAGAGTGTTGATCTCCTTAGGCCACACTCTCACTCATTATGCAAATACACATCACCTGATAAATTTTATGCACACCTTAAATCCAATAAGCACTCAAGTTTATACAGCTTGAAGTTGGAAAATATGCATAAAAATGATGATATGGCCAAAATACTCACTTGCCTAATAATTGTGCACACAGTGTATATTATCATTATCTTCATGTAACCCATTACTTTGTTCTGAGCTGTAATGTTAACGTTACAGTGCTATGCTTATTTTCATTGTCGTTACAACAAATCTGGATTGATCACACATAAATGAATGTGTTGTATAGGTAAATTGCAGATTGATTTATTTGTTTCAACGTCGATTAATTTGCTGTTGTGTTCTTATAATTACACACTAGGTCAGCCACTCCCACATACATTATTCCCAGGATAATCTGTTTCCTTGCCAAGAAAGATGGATAAGTTCACATATTTGGGTGTACTGCTTACATATTTGTTTGTACTTTTGTCAATGGTCTCTGCACTTTGCCTAACCAGCACAAACTTAAGCATACTGAATATATTTATTGTTCCACTCCCCACGATGCACTGTCCCATCTCTTATTGCACTGTTAATACTGTTTTGTCCTGCTGTCCCCCATGCAATTGTTCCCTCCCCTCCAACTGTGGCACAAGAATTTCACTTTCGCTGAGTTCTATGATGTATGTAAATAAAGTGATCATGATTTAAGCGATTTCACATTGACTCAAATTTAAAGGCACAATATGGAACAAACCTCCAACTGGCACCACAAATGAAGTGGTTGTTATTCGGTTTATCAGTACATGCTGCTTTATTGTTCAAGTTCCGGAGAATTCTCACTAAAATGGCACAAAAGATATTTAAGGCACAGTGTATTCTTGCTATTATGTTTGCTTGAGCCTCTTTGTCTCCCTCTTTTGTATTTAACATTTCCAAAGGTAAAGTACCATGAAAAAAATGGGAATATTTCCTCCTGACAGACCTGCATGGATACAGATATTTTCAAGTTTTCTGCAGTGGGTTTCACCAGCTAAGCTTAAGTTTGATCATAGCCTACAGTGGATGTAAACTGCCCTTACATTTGAGTTTACAAAGTACTAGACAATAATCGATTGCACCATGCAGATAGTTTCAACGTAAATTTTACACCTCCTTATCATTAGCTGTAAGGTCCCTCATAACAAAAAAAAAACAATGTGGTGAAAATGGTACACATGTGAATAACCTAAAAAATGTTTTAAAACATGCAATAGTATAATGTTACCAGAGATCATTTTAATCACTTGTTAGCTTTACCACTGATTTAGGATTAAAACAAGGTCGCTGGCTTCATATGTCAACCTTAGCCTAGTCAGCTAATATTAGCCGGTAAGCCAGAAAAATACACTGCTCTGCCTTTTGGTCCAAGTGAACCTTGATTCCTTGAGCGCGATCCTTCTCTTGTAAAAGAATGACTGTCAAGCACCTACAATAAATGTCTATCGAACTTTACCACTGCAATTTTGATAAACATACTAGCGGGGTAAGCAGACCATAATTGATTCATCATGGATGTTGTGAACCACAGATTTAACTAAAAAGTTTAACCATAATATTGTGGATTTAAAGTTTAACCATGAAGTTTTACTGCCACTGTCACTTTTTAAAAGTTAATGTTGAAATTATATCTCACAACAAGGGAGAATTCCCCCTTGTGTGTAGCACATTTTAGTGGAATCCGCTTCACTATTACTCTAGACAAATGCTGTTCCCGAATTTAATTACAACTTTTGTTTTCCCCACATAACTGTTATTTTTTGATTTCAGAAAACAACTTAGGCTATGCTGAGATCACAAAAAATAATAAGTTGATGCAGAGTTGCAGTGAAAAGATTCAAACAAAGCAGTATGTGTTCACGTGAACAGGGCATGATAAAAGTTCCTAAAGGTGTACTTCCTATTAGCTATAGTTATGACTGTCGGCTGATTGACAGACTGCCTGTCCAATCAGTAACAAGCACGTGATGATCAATAGGCAGTGGTGGAATGTAACAAAGTATTTGTACTTCATTACTGTACTTAAGTA